AGAGAGAGAGAGAGAGAGAGAGAGAGAGAGAGAGAGAGAGAGAGTTCTTCTTCTTCCTCTTCTAAGTCCACCATCTCTTCTCACCCTCTCGCCACCTGACTTCTCAGACTACGACAGAGAGAGAAAGAGTTGTGACTTGAGACTTGACGACATTGGATCCAGACTTGACATTTGGGATTCAGACATTCCGACGAGGGACTATTTCGGCTGTGCCGAAGACTTGGTGTTGACGACATTCCCATCTCCCCCTCCTCTTTGTCTAACCCCCTTCTTCTTCGTCTGTGTATGGTAGGGGCTGGCGCAGTCTTCCTGTGTGAAGCGCCAGACCCCATTCACACCATGTAACGATGATGATGATGTATGTTCAGGGCTGCATTGTARTATTGATTGTTCGGATCATTGGTATCTAAGTCTTCCGCTGTGCTATCTTATACTTTGAATTGAGAGGTCGGTTCTTGTTCTGGTCTGCACCGTTCAGTATGCAACACGACCCTACCTGTCGCCTGGCAAAGGACCCTTTCACACTCTGGACAATATGGAAGAGAAGATGTAAAGACTCTACACAGACTATAACTACTCAGACTGTTTCCGAGCTTGAAGCATGGCAGACTCTCATCCACCTCCTACAGACTGAATATCAAGTGGATTGGAACAAAGTAACGAAGCTCATCAAAGCACACCCCACGAAACAACAAGAAATCATCGCAAAGTTTAAAAGAGAACGCCTGGGCGATGGGAAACCAGGAGACATCGAACGCAACACACCAAGGCTGTGATGGAGAAAGAGGTAAAAAACAACACTCCCAGATGTCATAATGTCAGAAAGGATAGTGACAAAAAGAGAAGATGGTGCAGGTAGTGAAGAAACAGGCAAGGGTTTCGCTGTTTGTGTGTACCACATACACACACACGCACGTTGTGTGTGTGTGCATGAGCGCACGAGAGAGAGAGAGAGAGAGAGAGAGAGAGAGAGAGAGAGAGAGAGAGAGAGAGAGAGAGAGAGAGAGAGAGAGAGAGAGAGAGAGCTTGGGCGACCACACTTGGGAACGAAAATGAATGCAAACGTGGCCAGAGGCCCAGAGGTGATATTGGCTTTATTCCAGAAACTACATTGAATGTTGCAGGTCTCTTGTTTGGGGTGTGCTCATGGTGCTCAGGATTTGTAAATCCTTGGAGGCATTGGAAGGAAGCCGGGAAAAAAAAAAGGGCCTCTACAACAACAGCCATCAGTGCGAGGCTGCTAGGGACAACCCCCCACTCCCCGTCCTGGGGTCCCCCTGCTGCGTGACTGAGTGCTCCCAATAAGCTTCCCGGCCAGCAGGACAGCCGTCCAGGAAAGGCCATGGTTTGGGGGGTGGGGCAGACCGTAGCAGCCCCCCTCCCTCCCCCCGCCCCTGCTTAGGCGACTACTGTCACAAGGGCAGGGCTGATCTGATTTCTTACTCTTCGTTCTTGCGCTCATATCATCATATGTTTTGGAAAAACATGCTTGCCAGTACTACGCAACCGATTGACGCCCCCCAGAATAGTTTGGGGCAGTATTGATCAAAGCCAACAACAACAACAACAACAACAACAACAACAACAACAACAACAACAACAACGACGACGACGACGACGACGACGATGACGACGACGACGATGATGATGACGACGACAACGACAATAGCGACCAGTAAAGTTGAGTAAACTTACCTCAGGAACGAACCAAGTGAGTAGGAACCGCACCAAGAGAAGTCCATGCTCAAGAAGCACGATGGCAAGGATGACTGGATCGATCGACCAGTCTCGCTGAGAGTCGTACATAAGCATCAGTAGTATGCAGTTCGAAATGATGGACATCACCCCCAAGTACTGTGCAAAGGTGTGCACAGACAAAACAAGTGGCAAACTGATTTCAGAAATTTGCAGCCATCACTTAAAATTATGTCACTTCGAGTCACTGAAACCAAATGCAGTATTGACGAGAAGAATTGTAGGATTCTTTTCCATGATACAGTAGACAATAAAGCTGATTCCCCACCCCCTCCCGCCCCTTTTAAAGGCTGTGAGATGAATTGAAAGGGAAGAGAAGAGAAGATCTGGTCACCCCCCAAGCCCCCACTCGCCGCCTGCAACCTCTTCCATCGTCCCTTCGACACCAACCTCCCCCTCACAACCCCAATACTTCAGTCAAGCAATCCGACAAACTCTGACAGCAGGCACATTGTCAAAACACTGTTTTGATCAAAAGACTCGAAACCTGTGTAGCACACCGAATGTGTTCAAGTTCGGCTTTAGCGAACGACCGAACACGTTCGGGTGTTCGGCTGAAGGCCTCCCAAAGTGTTCGGTTGAACATATTAAAAGAAATACTCCTTTGACCAGGTAAGTTAGATACATACTGCCGCTATTTGGACATATCGTGAACCGAAATGGGCAGGCCCTACCAGGTCCCCGCCCAAAACAATACCGTATTGGAGTTTTTTTTTATCGAATTAGGTGAACGCGTAGAAGTTAGAGCAACGACGAACCGATTTGGAATTTCAAGAAGCTTCTTGGACCGGCAGATTGAAATTGGATTTTTTTTTAATCAAATTAGGTGAACCCGTCGAAGTTGGAGAAACGGCGAACCGATTTGGAATTTCGTGGAAGCTTCTTGAACAGGTAGAATTGGAATCTGCCATGTAGTCCAAGCGTTTTAGATTCTTGTAGAAGCTTCTTGGACCGGTAGTTCTAAATTGGACATCGTGTGAACCGATATGGACAGGTATTCTAGAAACTTGGACAGACCCACTGTGCCCTTCGTCAAAGGACTGAACGATTTAGACTGACGAGCGCATAAATTGGTGGGCCCCACAGAAACTCATGTATCGCTCACGTGTGCTACCTGCATCCATCACCGTGCATTCACTTCCATCGAGCATCGAACCACTGGCCTTGTGCTGTCACGATTGTGCGTTTGCGTGCCTTGTGCGTTCACGTGCCCAATACAGTATGCCCGCTAGAGGCAGGAGAGGCAGGTACAACCGCATTGACGATGTTCAGAGGCGAAAGATCATCGAGTCTATCTTCGTTGAAGGCAAAACGATTGCAGAGACTGCAGTACGCTATGGCTTTCCACGCAGTACTGTGCACAACATCGTTATCGCGTTCGAGGCTTATGGCTCAGAGACGACCAAGAGGAGAGGAGGGAATGTGTTTCCTGTTCTCGGCGAACAGCATATTCAGTGGCTCCAGCAACAGCTGGATTTGAATCCAAGCTGCACGATCCAGGAGCTTTGCGACAAACTCAATGCAGAGTTTGAGTTCCGACRGCCAGTTACACTGTCCACTGTCTCTCGAGCCGTTCGTGGCCAAGCAGGTTACTCCTTGAAGCTGCTTCACAGGGAGCCTGTTGATTACAACTGCGAAGAAAGATTACGGGAACGGCAAGAATGGACACGGGGAGTGATGGAGATGGGTATATCTATGCTCAATGCAGTGTATGTAGATGAGGCAGGATTCAATCTTCATCTCACTCGGAGGTTTGGAAGAGCGCGGCGAGGTGAAAGGGCAGTGGAAGGTAGAGCTACACAGAGGGGTAGAAATTTGTCCTTGGTTGTTGCGGTTGGAATAGATGGCTTGATAGCTAATGAAATTAGGGTAGGCGCGTTCAATGCTGACACGTACCTAGATTTCATAGAGAAGAAACTCCTACCTGCCTTGGACCAATCCAAGGCGATCATCATGGGCAATGTTCCATTTCATCGTAGTGGGGATGTGCAGAGGGCGATAGAGGAAGCTGGGCACACTTGTCTTTACCTTCCTCCGTACTCCCCTTTCTTGAATGCAGCAGAATGGGTCTTCGGCAATGTCAAGAGCCGCGTTTGTCGTGAGGAACTTGGGGGGCAGGGGAATCTGATTGATGCAATCAACCGGGGTCTTTTGCGGATCACTGCCGAGATGTGCCAAGGATGGATTAGAGAGGTAACACGAAACTTCGGCAAAGCTAATCGGGGCGAAGTTCTAGGTCGACAGTTTACGGGTGCAGCAGGCCGTGATTCGGGAGCAGCAGGCCCGTGATTCAGACGCATGTGACTAACATGCAAAATCGCTTCACTAAATTGATATCTTTGTTCGTCCCGATGGTGTCCMCARAATCTCAAATCGGTTGASTGCTGTACGAAATGGGGTTTCGGTAATACTAATTTGTTAAATCAATCTGCCTAACTCTGTCATGCGTCCAAACTGTTAAATCATTCTGTCCAAAATGGTCATCATTTATCCCAACCTATATCCAGTATGTCCAAAATGCTCATYSTTTATCCCAACCTAAATCTGATGTGTCCAAAATGCTCATCACTTATCCCAACCTGTATCGACTACCCAAATCGGTTCCGATCATGAACTAAATAGGAAAATCGAACTGACCAATTCGGTTTGATGATTGTCCAATTGATTTTTTGTTTGTCCAAATCCCTTCACCTTTGTCCTAACTTACCTGGTCAAAGGGGTAATAATCTAGGCTACCAGAGTGGCCCGGGGTCACTTGCCCGGCCGGGCCAAAAAAAATAAAATAATAATAATAATAATAATTTTTAATTTTTATTTYAATTTTGGTGAAGAATTTCGATGTGACCCTGAGGCAAAAGTTGTTCAGTTTATTTTTCGGCATAACATAGTTTTTTTTCGGATTTTTTTGGAGCTTTTTTTTTTTTTTTGCTGGGACCTCCTTGCACGGGCTGGCCACCCGGGACCCGGGCGGCCCGGCTGGTAGCCTAGGTAATAATAATGAATTTTTTTATTTTTATTTTTTTCAGGTTTTTTATTTTTAACTCGAGGTTGACTAACAATTTGAACATGCCTGCCGGGCAAAAGTTGTTTGTATTATTAGTTTACAAATTTACATAACATTTTATTTCATTTTTTCGCAGATTTTTTCTGAGAGCATTTTTTGTTTTTTGCTTTTGTAAATATTATGTTTGCATTTGGAGGGGTTTTGGCGCTCGTTGGCGTTCGGCAGCCGAATGCTAAAACGATGCTACGCTGGTCAAAGCCTTGTCAAAACATTGTCGAAACACTGTTTTGTGAAAACATTGTGAAAACATTGCCAAAATCAAGGCATTGTCAAAACATTGTCAAAACATTGTCCCTGGTGAGAAGAGTACTAAGAACATGCCTTGCGGACTGGACCTTACAAATTGTCAAAACTTTGTCAAAAATTGTGTACCTAGTCTGTAAGAGTACTAAGAACATGCCTTGCCGACTGGACCTTCCAAACTGCTTATCTATAACAGCTAAATGCTCAACTGATTGGGCTGACACTTAACAGGAAAGCGTTAAGTTCCAAATTCCAATGTTTCTCGACAATCATCTGCATTGTGCAATTGTGGTGGGGACAAAGTTATAAACATCAGGGATGTTGTAGCACAAAGTTATAAACATCAGGGAAGATGTTAAGGTTACCTGAAAAATAGTAAGCCAGGATCCGATCGACGCAACGGCGTGGGGAACGGGCCGTCGATACATTTGCAGGAGCTTAAACGAGTCCGATCTGATTTCAACCAGGTTTCCCTGCACATGCCGAGAGCACCAGAGCGATCCGCTTTCAGGATTTCAAGCAGGAACTTAAAGAGTCCTTTGGGACATCCGTTAAAATTGGAACGATAGAGAGAAGATTAGCATGGCCCCTGTGCAAGGATGACACACATAAATCAATCACGGTCTGATGCCATCAAGAAAAACATGGGTTTCCAAAGAAACGAACCCCCAATGCTGGGACTCTCTTAATGAATAACAATAGTATTCATAGCCTGGCACACACACACACACACACACACACACACACACACACACACACACACACACACACACGCACACAC